TTCATCGACGTCATCCATTTTGGTTGTGTGTTGTTTTCCAGCTCTTCTTCTAATGCATGTTAGTGGTGCTTAGAAAAGAGCTTAATGTAGCACTACCGCCACCAGCTGGTAAGGTGCGTTGATATTAATAATCCGCCCACTAGAGGTGAACAATCCGCCCACTAGAGGTGAACAATCCGCCCACTAAACGGGAACTATAGGCAAAGGTGAGACACAAAAATAGAGGTCCCACTAGAACCGGACACAACAGGCTACAACAAGAACCAGACCTGTGGATAAGGGGCTTTAGTGTCCGCGGGGGTTCATAGAGTAATAGCAGCTCTGCAAGATAAGATGGTGCGAGACCATTGAGACATTTAAAAACCATTAAAAGAATCCTAAAATCAACCCTGAGACACACAGGGAGCCAATGCAATGATTTTAAAACAGGTGTAATATGAGCCTGCCTTCTGGTCTTGGTTAGCACACAAGCAGCAGAGTTTTGTAACAGCTGAAGGCTGGATAAATTTTTCTTAGGGAGACCAGAAAGCAGTGCATTACAGTAGTCTAAACAGCTAGATATAAAAGCGTGCATCAAAGTCTCAGTATTAGTGAAAGAGAGAAGAGGGCGGACTCTGGCTATATGTTTTAGATGGTAAAATCCCGTTTTGACTATATGTTTGATATGTGGAATAAAAGTAAGCTCAGAGTCAAAAAGAACCCCCAGGCTTCTTACTTTTTTGGAAGATTTTAAAGACAGAGATTGTAATTTCTGAATTGTATTATCTTTTTGAACCTCCGGTCCAATGATTAAAACTTTTGTTTTGTCCTGGTTTAGCTGGAGAAAGTTCGGTGCCATCCAGGACTTTATGTCTGAAATGCAATTAAAAAGTGCAGTGATTGGCCGGGGGCCATCATGAGATAATGAGATGTATAACTGTGTGTCATCAGTAGAAACTTATCCCATGGCTCCTGATGACTCCACCAAGCGTCAACATGTACAAATTAAAAAGTAGGGGGCCTAAAATAGAGCCTTGGGGGACGCCATAGTTGGCTTCATGGATCTGCGAGGTGCATGTATCCATACTTGCCATAAAGGTTCTATCTGAGATAGGAGCTGAACCACAGAAGAACAGTACCAGAAAGACCAACCAGGTGTTGTAATCTATTTAGAAGAATTTGATGATCTAATGTATCAAAGGCTGCACTCAGATCCAATAGAACAAGAACTGAGAGCTTGTGTGAAACCAGATTACACCTTAAATCATTCACAATTTTTAATAGGGCTGTCTCTGTACTGTGGTTCGTCCTAAAACCAGATTGATACTTTTCTAAAATACCAGCATCATTTAAAAAAAAATTTAATTGAATAAAAACAAGCTTTTCTAAGATTTTACTTAAGAATGGTAAGTTGGATACAGGTCTGTAATTATTAAAAACACTAGGATCTAGATTACTTTTCTTCAGAAGGGGCTTCACCACAGCCATTTTAAAGGCAATGGGGAAGACACCCATCTGAAATAAAGATAATGGATGGATGGGTACAGGGTTTAAAACTTAAAATTGTCTTGCCTATTTATTCATCAACCCCACCCGTTTCGTACAACCAACTTTTCCAACAATCACAGCAGCAAGCCTCTTCAAGCTCTACAGGTTTGGTCAATCTGGCTACTGGAATTTTTGTCCATTCTTCTTAACCAAACTGGTCCAGCTTCTTTAGGTCAGTATACACCGCTTGTGTTCAATAATCTTTAGCAATCTTTGGTCCTTAAACCAACAGAGTGTTGCTTTAGAAGGGCGTTTAGGGTCATTGTCCTACTGAGAGATGAACCTCCGTCCCGATGTAAAACATCTGGAAGAGTCGAACAGGATTTCCCAATACATTTCTCCTAATTTTGCTCCATTTATCCTTCCTTCGACTTTTACCAATATCCCATTTCCTAATGATAAACCCCTGCATAGTATAATGCTGCCACCGTCATGCTTCAATGTGGGGATGACGTTCTTAGCATGGTGAGAGATGGTAGATTTGCCTCTGCCATGCTGTTGTCCTCAATGGCCCAAAAGTTAGATTTTTGTCTCATCTGACCACGTCTTTCACATGTTTGAAAAAGAAATTCCATACCATGTAAAGAAGCAACCTTTACATAATAATAGTATGTTTGGCCAATCCAGTTGACTCTCACTGCCCTTGATGCACACACTTGTTTTTCACTGTTTAGATGCTTGTATCTTATGCAGCTAAGCACAGGGAGAGGGTTATGATCATTTTTGATAACGTAAGAAAAGAGGAGTGGCGAAAATTGTTATTTATGTTGTTTGATTGTTTATTGTTGTTGCAGTAGTCAGTAGCATGTCTTGCTAATGCAGCATGAATTGTGATGTGGGGAAACACGGCTTGTCTGCTGGAAAAGTAAAATAAATGTTCAGTTGCAATGAAATCTCCTTTAAAGCCGTGTCTTTTGAACTTGGCCCTCATAAGCTCTCAAAGTTGCTTTTCATAAAGCACTACTGTATTTTGCATTCTTTTATCTGCTGCATCAGGTCATGTGATTACTAAAGAGACTTAACCCCACACTCACACACTTGTTTTATTTATTTTTACTTACTCTTTGCACTGCAGTTGCCTTGTCTAAAAACAGAACCAAGGTTGTGTTATAATGTCAAAGATTATTTTGGCATGTTCACCTTGCTTTTATTATTAGATCAGGTCACTTTCATAATAAACATGTCAAACTGAGCATGTGCTGGTAAGACTTGCATTGAAAATAATGCTTAAACATTAAAGGCCTAGCATTCTTTGAGGGAATGCATATTGTCCGTTTAGAAGAAGTGGAGTTCTTGTTTTGGTCACACCTTGAAAATATCAAAATGAAGATCTCGTGCGATGTCAGCTGCTCCATCAAATTTTCAGATTCAGATATTTATTGTCGTTCACACCACGTGTGGTACATGTGGTGGAGCGAAATTATGTACACAGGGTCCCAGTTACATCCAAGAATAAAATGTAAAAGAAAAACAGTAATAACATCTAAGATATGAACTAAGAAAAACATCAGCTAAAAATACACTAAGCACTAATAGAATAAAAACAATATGCTGAACAGCAGCACGAACATGAGTCTGTGTGAGCAGATGAGCACGCATGAACACGGCAACATGAAACAGATCAGCAGCAACATGAAACAGATCAGCAGCAACATTGGAACAGATCAACAGCAACATGATGTGAATTTTCACAGTGATTATTCTGGTTATGGATTCATGAGTCTAACAGCCTCAGGGTAGAAGCTGTTCCTCAGTCTAGTGGTTCTACACTTAATGCTCCTCAACCTCCTTCCTGAGGGGAGTGGGGCAAAAAGTGTGTGTGCGTGGGGTCCTTCATGATGCAGGTGGCCCTCTTCCTGCATCTGGAGGTGTAGATGTCTGTGATGGTGGGGAGGCTGACTCCAACAGACTTCTGTGCAGCCTTCTCCACTCTCTGCAAAGCTTTTCTTTCTGCAGCTGTGCAGCCTCCATGCCACACGTTCATGCTGGAGCACAGGATGCTCTCCACTGCACACCTGTAGAAGGAGGTGAGGACTTGAGTTTCCCATACCAGCTCGTCTCAGCCGTCCGAGGAAGTAGAGTCTCTGATGAGCTTTCTTGATCAGGCTGGTGGTGTTGTTGCTCCAGCTGAGGTTGTCATTCAGGTGTACACCCAAGTACTTGTAGCTGGAGACCACTTCCACTGCAGATCATTTTATGTTCAGGGGGTGTAGGTGTGTTTGTTCCTTCCACAATCATCTCCTTTGTCTTCTTCACATTGATGTGAAGGTTATTCTCTTTGCACCAGCTCTCCAGGTGTTCCACCTCCTGCCTGTAGTTGGACTCATCATTGTTTGTGATGTATCCCACCACCGCTGTATCATCTGCAAACTTTACAATGTGCCAGCCTGGATGGGTAGCTGCACAATCATACGTGAGCAGAGTAAACAGAAAGGGGCTCAGCACACATCCCTGAGGTGAGCCAGTGCTGAGGGTTATGGTGGAAGAGGAGAAGTTGTGGATCCTCACTGACTACGGTCTGTTTGTTAAGAAGTCTAGGATCCTGTTGCAAATGGAGGAGTTTAGTCCTTGTGTGACTAGTTTGTCCATCAAGGTTTGCGGGATCATGGTGTTGAAGGCGGATGTGAAGTCCACAAAGAGCATACGGACATAGGAGTCCTTCTGCTTCTGCTCAATTTTAATTATCTATTTTTAAAAATTAAAACTTGACTTGTATAGCCTTTTTTTGTGTTAATAATTTTGATTAGCTGTGGCGACCATCTTGAATTGGTTTACTCCTCAAGGTAACTAGTTGTTGTTGTTGTTGTTGTAGAACCAATTTTATGAGTTAATGAGAGTTTCATTAATTTTAGGGTTCATGAGAGATTTTGGGGATAAACACAACAGCGTGCTTACACACAAACATGGACATGAACAAAAACATTTTCCTCCACCTTCACCTGTCCATGGTACGCAATAAACAAACAGAAGCTTTGGGTTTTGGGGTCATCGTGGTGATAGATTCAAAAAGCCTTCATTCTTTCTTTTGGGTTTTGTACTTGTTTTCTACCCATGTTTTGCACACAGTACAAAATATTTATGTCTATATTCAAACTGTGTTGTGATCAGCATTCTCCATCTGTGCGAGGCCCAACAAGTGCAGCGTCAGCTCTTACATAGTTAAGCCTCTTAGATAGATTGTTATGTTGTTTTCCTTTAATTGAAGCCTCTGCGGGGAGTCTGTGGTCCGCCCTGCCTCAACCCGTACAACCCTGCTGAGCCCTCAGCTGAAATATGACCAAGCAGCAGGTTGTGGGCCAGAGATTGTGCCAAACGTTTATTCTTTTTTTTTTCCTCTTGTAATCGTTTTATCCTTTTCTTCCAGGGCTCGTCTGCGGATCTACTAATTTCCATTTGCTTCCTGTTTCACAGTGCTCCTCTGTGTGTATATTGCCCAATGCTTCACTCTGATTGTGTCCTAACTGGTTTTGCAGGGTTGATCTGTGGTCAGACTGCTGAGATGACAAAGCTGTGACAGTGGACAAGGCCCAGTTTGTGTGACATGGCTACTGCTAAGAAGAGTGAGTTTTTACTGTTGTGTTTTTTTGAGTGTTTATTGAAAATCCTCACACCATTCTGTGTATAAAGATTAGTTTTATTAAAATTAGTTGATGCTATTTGATACATTGATTGATAGCAAATATTTTTGTAGCTCAAATCAAACAAATCCAATTTAAGGTGTCTCAAGATGAGGCTTTATTCATATGGTTTGACATTCTCATAAAACAGGCCCAGATTTCTTTGAAGGAATGCACGTTGTTTTGAACGATCCTCAGCTACTACCCCATCAAATGTTAGTTCATTGTGTGTAAAATTGACTGAGTTACAGCTCTTTTTGTGTCTAGTAAAGTTCATTAGCTGTGGTGGTCATGTTTGTTTGTTTGGACTCCCAACAGTTAATCAGTTCTAGATCTACAATCAATAATTACTTTCTGAAAGATTCGTTAAAATCCATCCAGTGGTTCATGAGATATTTTACTGGAAGAAAAGCAGGGTTAATGCTAACATGTATTGCTACATTTTTAAACAAAATGTTGTGAGTAGTACTGGAAGTTTGTGTTGTGACATACTCTGTTATAATCTTAACAAATATTAACTCAATATCTGTCATATTTACTGAAATACAGCTGTTTTTGTGTTTGCTAAGTTCAGTTTATTGTGTCAGCCATCTTGCATTGGATTGGCTCCAAGATTTAATCAGTTGCAGTGGTATGGTCATTTATTATTTCTTGAAAATTTCATTAAAATTTGTCTAGTGGTTGATGAAATATTTGTTAACAGACAGCCACATAAACACAAATGAGGGTAAAATCCTTATTCTCCACCTTTACTTTTTGTTGGCAAGTGATAAAGAATCATGTTTCAAACATAAAAGCATATCGGTGTTTTTTTAAAGTTCGTGATGGGGATATTAATAAAGTCCAGGCCTACCCAGTTTGGTTATTGACGACAAGTTTGCAGGTGCTCAGATAGAAAGAGGTTAAGTTTTGTGCTCTGAGCTTTTTTTGGTTCACCAGATTTACTGGTAGCCTTTCTTTTCTTTTTTTTCATCTTATGTACTGGTATATCGCAGATGGAACTGGGTCTTAAATGGTGGAGAGAGGTGTTGGGTAAATAGGATTATAATCTAAAAAAAAAACCAACTTCAGTTTCAATGTTCTGTGACTGAAAACATCAAAAAAGCCTTTTATTTAGCCTGGAGACATTCTAGGAAGAATAGTCAATAAAAAGTGATTTATCTTTTTTTCTCCCTCTCTCTGAGTTAAAGAGGTTTTGAGAAAGACGTGTGTTTTTTTTTATCAGTCAGCAGCTTTACTTCAAATAGTTGTTGGGGCAAGCAAAACTTTCTCAGAAACAGGAGTGGTAGTAGGAAGGGGAAAAAAAATAAAGAATGCAGAAGAAGAAATGTCTGGTCAGTCTTTTGCAGCTTCATGTGTTCTTTAATAAATGACTAATTAGTGACTAGTGGTGGGATGCATCACAAACAATGATGAGTCCAGCTACAGGCAAGAGGTGGAACACCTGGAGAGCTGGTGCAAAGCGAATAACCTTCACATCAATGTGAAGAAGACAAAGGAGATGATTGTGGACTTCAGAAGGAACAAAAACA